GTGATGGCCGCGCTGACCCACCGTGTGTGGGTGATGGCCGCGCTGACTCACCGTGTGTGGGTGATGGCCGTGCTGACCCACCGTGTGTGGGTGATGGCCATGCTGACCCACCGTGGCAGAAAACTAGTCACAGTTAATCGTCGCCCTAACACATATGTGGTCAAGTACGGCTAGTCACTGGTTCTATGACAGCTAGCTGGCCATGGAGATGGGGCTGGAATACATCTGATCCTCATAGACAAACCTGTCCGTGTGTCCTCGTAGGCAGCAGTGTCCTGGCCATTCTGCTGGTGTCCGTGCTTCTGGAGTCTGTGGAAGACAGAATGGCTAGTGAAGGACAGGCGAGGCCCAGATCGTCACCTCTATGGTCCACTGTGCTCTCGACCTTCGTGCTGTTTAAAGACAAACGCTTGTGCCTCCTGATGCTCCTGCCACTGTACAGTGGGCTCCACCAAGGGTTTCTCTATGGAGAGTACACAAAGGTAGGAGAGAAAGAAGCCCAGGGCTCATGCTGTGCACCTGTGCTCTACCTAAAGGAACCCGAGGGTGTCCTGAGACCAGTGGCCCCGGGGGCCCTTGAGTAGGATCAGGTTCCCGGTCCTCCAGCAGCGAGTCTATGATTGAGAACCCATCTCTGACTTCTCGTCTGAAGGGAGAACTTCCTACCAGCCCGTGTCTTTCCCAGGAAGGACAAAACTGGGGGAAGGTAGCTGTGTGTAACGCTTGTCCATTCTGCTAACGGGGCTTTCACCCTGTGTTCTCACTGCTGTTTAATAACAGAAGGTGTGGAATCCTTGAGTCGTGTTGAAATCCCTTCCCACACCAGCTTCCATACCGTGTATTTCAGCCTAGAAACCTTGTGGCCTGCCAGCGCTGGCTCTTCCACTCTGCGCTCACAGAAGTTCTTTCACTTGGGACAGCGCAGGCAGTAGGGACACAAAGTGGGCTAGTCTCTATTGGCTGAATCACAACTGCTGTCTCTTATGGGAGGGCTGACCCCAAGCTCTGTCTTCCTAAGGAATCCTGTGGAGAAAGGAGCCACCTGTCCTAGAAGTTTTTTCCCTCCTGGGTGGTTGAGAGTCTTCCCGGTACACACTGGTTCATGGTGACCCTAGGGCAGAGGCAGGAGGCGGGAGGCAGGGCATCCCTCAGTCCTACCTTAAGTCTTGCCCCGTCCTCACACTAGGAAAATTTCTACCTCACCCTTCAGCCAGGGGTAGTGCTCCAGAACAGCAGGCAGACAGTAGGCATTCAACTTAACCTGAATTCCCCCCATAAACTGCAGTTATCTCTGGACAAGAGTGCCTTGTGCAATATCTAAGTGTCCTGGATTCACCCAGTAGTACCACTCCACCATTTGGGGGAAGCTGATGGTGGAGGGAATCAGTCTTGGGTCTTTATTTCTTTATAAAAAAAGATTATTTTATCTTTTTTTATTATTAAATTATAAAAGTTTCCACTTCCTTCCCTCCTCCCAACACCCTCCCACTCCCCCCACTCCCTCTCCTCCTCCCTCTCCATCCCCTAGAGCAGTCAGGGTTTCCTGCCCTGTGGGAAGTTCAAGTTCCTCCCCTCTCCCTCCAGGTCCAGGGAAGGTGAGAGTCCAAACAGACTGGATCGCCAAAATCCAGTATATGCAGAGGAAGCAAGTCCCAGTGTCATTGTCAATGGCTTTTCAGAAAGGCTCCGGGCCAGCCACATTCAGAGAATCTGGCCACATTCAGAGAATCTGGTTGGATCACGTCCTCGTTCAGTCCCAGTCCAACAGGCCTTGGTGAACTCTCATTATATCAGTCCCCTTGTATCAGTGGGTGCTCGCATCCCTCGCAGTCCTGATTACTTTTTTTATTTTCTTCATCCTTCTGCTCCTCATTTGGACCGTGGAGTGCTCAGTCCGGTGCTCCAATATGGGTCTCCGTTTGTATCGCCATCCAACGTTGGATGAAGGTTTCCTCTGCCCTTGCCTTCTTTGTTCACGTTCTCTTTCCTTCTGCCTCTCATTTGGATCTAGGGAGCTAGGTCCAGTGTTCCAACGTGGGTCTCCGCCTCCATCTCCATCCATCGCCAGATGAGGGTTCTCGGGAGAGCTCCGCAGGGAGGAGTCGCCTCTGTCGGGTGACCAGATTGTCGAGGGGGGCGGAGAAAGACTGAATTCCTCCTAGCCGGAGCCCTCGGGCCAGGAGAAAACTCACCCCTCCTCCAATGGAAATCTGCTAGAAGTTCACTCTCTCTTGCTGGCCAGGAATGTGATTGAGCTGAGACAGGGTTTGCCTGTCCTCAGGCAGGCTCTCAAAGCACCGGAACTGCCCCTGCTGGACTGAGCCCACAGCCCAGGCCCAGCGTGCAAGGGAGCAGCTCTGGGGAGATCTTGTGGCTCCAGAGGGGAGGGGGGGGCAGATTTTTTTATCTTTAAAGAAGATTAGAGCCGGGCAGTGGTGGCGCACGCCTTTAATCCCAGCACTTGGGAGGCAGAGGCAGGCAGATCTCTGTGAGTTTGAGGTCAGCCTGGTCTACAAGAACTAGTTCCAGGACAGGCTTTAAAGCTACAGAGAAACCCTGTCTCGAAAAACCAAAAATAAATAAATAAATAAATCACAAATAAATAATAAAAAATAAAGAAGGTTAGAAAGGGACCACACCTGGCAACCAAGGTGAGGGTACCAGCCAGGAAGGTGGGATGGCACAGACTCTAAGCACTCAAGGGAAGACAGATGGGTGGCTGGGAGGACCCAAGGAGACCGTGTCTTGGCAGCAGCTGAGGGGACTTAAAGGAAAGCTTCAGGCCGTGCAGCCACGTTCTGCAGGCTGAGGGGCTGAGGTTTTGGATGCAAGATGGGTCGGGGTGGCCTGGAATCACCCCGAGGCCACCTTTGCTTGTCTACCTAGATAACCCCTGGTCCTGATCCTGTTCGTGGCCTTTCATGTCCACTTCGTTGCCTTCTCCATCATCAGGTGGAGTCACGCCTCTCATTCATGTCCGGCGTGTCCTCACCTTCATCCTCCCTCTTCCCCGGTGCCATTGTGCTCTGTGGCTGGCAGGACACGCCCAGAACATCTCAGTCGAACACCTCAGTGACATGCATGGGCCTCCTGTCCCAACAGATAGCATGTTGTTCCAGCCCCAGCCAGCTATGCCAATGCAGCCAGCTCCTTGTTCCAACCTTTCATCTAAGTGTCCTTGATTCTGCTAGCAATGGAGCCAAGTGCTGAGGCTGCCCAGTGGCCTCCCTAACCGTCTATGGAGGTTGCATTTCCCTCACCTGTCCTTAGACCTAATAGAAAATGATGGGACATGTCAATGTCTTTGTTAACGCTCTGTAAGATAGTGTCTACACCTAGGGCAAAGAATGTGGGAAGGCGTTTGTCCAGATGTCTGTCCATTTTGATCCAAAGCAGGCCCTCTTCCATATACCAGTGTTGCTCCCCTAGGCTGGGAGCTGCAGCTCCTGGGCCACATCAGCGTGTCAACTGTCACATGGTAGCTTCAGCCTGGAACCATAGTGAGGCCTGTACACGCCAGTAATGCAGCTCTGTGCTTCTTCCCAGTCTTATGCAACCTGTGCCCTGGGCATCCATTTCGTGGGCTATGTGATGATCTGCTTCTCGGCTGTCACCTCCCTGTGCTCCCTGCTGTGTGGAAAGATCTCCAAGTACACGGGCAGGGCGGCGCTCTATGTGACGGGTAAGTAGCCACATAGGTCGGCATATGCTGCTGGCCCATGTAAAGGGCACACACAGGGCAGTGAGGGCTGTGGACGAGCTTCAGAAAGGGAAGCCCTGCAGGCAGCATGATTCCTGGTCTCCCTGATGCTCCCCTTGTGCCCCCTGCCACCCCCTGCCTTCCTCCAAAGGGAAATGTAACCAGCCTCCTTGGACTGCCAGTCCCAAAATTATGACATGGAGACTTCTTATTAAATGAATGCACAGCCTTAGCTTAGGCTTGTTTCTAACTAGCTTTTTAACCTTAATTTAACCGGTTTCTATTTATCTAAATTTTGCCATGGGCTTTTTACCTTTCTTTCATTCTGTATGTCCTACTTTCTCTGTGTCTATCTGTCTGTCTGGCCAGGTCCCCTTTTCTCTTTGCCCACAAGTCCCATCTATCCCTCTTCAGCCTAACTTTTTATTAGACCAATCAGGGGCCTTAGGCAGGCAAGGTAAATCAGCAACACTCTTTACATAGTTAAAGAATTATTCTACAACATAAACAAATGCAGCCCATCTTTACC